TGACATCCCCAGAGGTATTCATCGAAAGTTGTTTTTTGAGTAGCTTGTTGACGCTGCTCCCTCTCTCGTGACGCTCGCGCTTCTGCCTTGCTTGCTCGCTCTTCTGCCTGGAGACGTAACTCTTCTTCCTTGAGACGCAACTCTTTCTCTTGCCTTGCTCGCTCTTCCGCCTCAAGTAAGAGAGCCTTGTAGTCCACATCTTGCGACATCCTCACACTTACTTGGGTAGACCCTCCAAGTATGTGTATCCGTCTCGAATGAGGGTCGTCTGGACAAAGTTGCTGAGCCAAAAGGGCGAGCCTGCTGATGGGCGGCAGAGAAGCGTCGCTGCTCAGGCTCCAGTCCTCGTGGAGGTCCAGAGTAGTTAACAGATAGTTACGTAAGTTACTTGAGCCTCATGAGCTGCTTATGTAAGTATTTCCTAACTAACCATAAATAGTTAGTTTACCGCAGCGTCTTGGCACTGGTCGTCGCCGCTTTAAGAGCAAAGACTTTATATCGTGACTGCTACAGAGGATTGATACATGCACTACGGAGTATATCAAAACGGATATTTGAAGATATAGGGAAAATATATTTATAATTTCCGTCTTTACTCGTATTAGCCCAAGTATATTTCTAGATACCGGAAAATAAGGGCTGTTTAGGAACCATCGGATAATGACTGTAGAGCAACCAGTTTCAGAACACTAACGTTTCGTCGCAGATAACGAATTCGGGGCTTTTACGTTTTGCAATTGGTAACTGAATCTCACATGGAACTGTTTATTGATTTTCGAACGTTATCTAACTACTTCTTCTTTGGTGCAGCCCAGCAGGTTCTCTTGGTGGTAAGCTTTTGCGCAAACTGCTTATCAGCAGGCGCCAGAGTTGGCATTTGTAAAGGGGAAATGATTGGTATATCGGTCTTTCGAATCGGTAGAACTGGGAACTACGCTCTACATCTTTCTTAAGCGTTGACAAGCCCGCTGGAGCAGGGGCGCTGGCAGGAGAAAACAACGGAAAGTGCGCAGGGGGCACAGCGGCGCGCACCACGACTTGAAACTGGGGCCCAATGGCCCGGAACGGAATGTCGTCACCAACGGACGACTCGGAAGGCGCAGGCACGGCAGGCCGCACACCGGGAGGAGTACTGGTCGCTCAGTTGTTGAATTGATGACAGGTCTCGGACTGACTGAAGTATCTGAACTAATGCATGATATTCCTAGAATGCCAAAGCTCTCTAGGCTTGTCAACGATTACTGCCATTCTCATGTTAGGTAGGTTCCAGTCATCGGACGTTGTCTTAGCCATCGACCTGGTGGTCCTTCGGTCGCCAGTTGCAGACGTCGTCTCTGGCGCGATGGCAGGCGGCGTGGTGACTCTTCATTTTTGGCTTTTCAGTTTCTGACGGCAGGGGTATTTTCTTGGATCTGCTCCATAATATCGATATCGACTGTTGTAATGTGCCAGTTCCTGCTGTTTCCAGGCCCGAAAGCAGTGAATAAAAGAACTTTCCTCTAGATCTGAGACTGGTGAGAGGGATTTTCATCGTTACTGGCAAGCGACATATGAGGTGGCTTGTATTCAATAGCCAGGCGGCCTCCACCAAAGACTCGATAGACTCGAGTGCACATACTCTCATAGCCCATATGTGACATGTTATTATGGGGGAATAAGGCTGGTATTGCTTGCGTGTCGCCTTTCTCGCTATGGATATCACGTCCTTTGCCTTAAGAATATGTGGCGCTTTGTACTCAATAGCATGCAAAGACATGGACTATACCACTCAACGTAAAGAGCGAGCACCCACTAGTAGCCAGCAGGATGATGTCTTTTAACAATATTTTAGGTCGTTATTCAGCTGACACAGGTCTTGTCTTTAGCTTGTGTCGATGATATAACGACTCTCTCTGCACCCAATAGGGTTTTCCCCTTTTTGGCCCGGCGGTTTGATAGCTTGCCATGATACGGAGTACCTGTTCGCATGATTCTTTAACTTGACGGACAGTCGAGCGCTCCAAGCTTAGTATCAATATGTAGTGGTATACTTGGAATAATAAGCGTTGGGGTGTTGCTTGTCAAGTCAAGAATGGCCGGACTGAGCTCCTGGAACCAAATCTAGTACCGGATAAGTGTATCATAGCGCATGGATATAGCATGCAAAATGTTTTTTGAATTCCACTAGCATGCTGCCAAAACATCATTCTTGCTCAAAAATCTGGATGCCGGAGACTCAGGAGCACTTCTGCAGATGCTTACCATGCCCATAGGTTGTACTCCGACCTTAGTTATCCGGCTTCCCTAAGGCGAGTCTCAGTGCCGGGATCACGCAGATGAAACCCCTAAGGCACCTGGGATGGACTATGTTCTGTACTGTAGACTAGTATTGATTTCCATAAGTGGTAGCGTGGACAGCATGGAGTTAGCAACCGTATTAACCGATAAATTAAGATACTCATCCACATTCAGGCCGATTGAGTTGAGCATCTTAGCAATCAAGTGAGAAAACCGAGTTGATGAAAAACGAAGAAGACAGACTCCTGGAAGCCGAGCTTTATAATCGAATTCTTGCGTCACTCTCGTATTAACTGTTGACCTTCTTCACATCATTGTAAGTGACTGGAGTCTTAACTTAGATCGAGGCCATCGGCACAGACATGCATCATTCACTGCCCGAGAACGAACGTGCTTCGTATGTTTAACTAATTATATTCAGGAAAACACAGAGTTAATAGTGGACACGAGTTAGGCGAACAAGCGACTCCTCACATCCGTTATCCAGTAGGATTAATAATGTCCGCGATTAATAATTCAAGCCTCATCTGTTGGTGCGAGCATGACGGCATCCTGACTCAGGAAGGCATGCAAGTGTGTAGTCATATCGTGTTTCAGGAGGGCATCGGGGTGATGGAGATTGGTAAGGGTGTTTATAGCTAGGTAGAACAGGTTTGAAGTGCTCCGAAGGTGGGCTCAGGCCATCAGGAATGGGTACCCTGCGGTGGGTATCATTCCGGCATCAGTACCTGTTATTCCGTCGGAGTAAATGTGTGGGTGATAAGTTGCGTGTTGCATATATAAGTCGTAGTGTTGTAGATGGAGGAGAAGGACAAGATTGCAGGAGGCCAGAGATAACACGTTATCTTATCTGATCTTGTTTGCTGCTGCTATTTATCCTTCGACCCGTGACAGCCTTGGAGCTGAGTAACGAAGTGTCCACAGCTACCCCTGCAACAGACAAGGCAAGCTACGGACAAGGAAAGGGATAATCAGATGGCTGAGTTCATCTATATAAGCCAGCAGACCAGGAAAGACACAAAACACCATACATATGTATATACAAAGGAGCCAAAATGTGATACAACGACGCATCTCTAGCTTTTCATTTCATTCCCTTCCATTGCTGGAATGCTCACTTCTTCAGCTTCTCCGTCAACTCAGGAACCTTCTCAAACAAGTCTCCTACAAGCCCGACATCCGCAACCTGGAAGATAGGCGCATCTGGATCCTTGTTGATGGCAGCAATGACCTTACTATCCTTCATACCTGCCAAATGCTGGATAGCACCGGAGATGCCGGCACACAAATAGAGCTGAGGTGCAACGTTTTTGCCCGTCTGACCAACCTGTAGCGAGTTATCGGCCATTTTTTCGTCGACAGCGGCACGGGAGGCGCCGATAGCGGCACCAAGGGCGTCAGCGAGGGGAGTCATGATACGGTCGAAATCTTCCTTTGATTTCAGACCGCGGCCACCGGACACGACACGCTCGGCGGTAGAGAGGTCGGGCCGTTCGGAGGTGGTGAGGTCTTCGGAGAGCCATTTTGTGGTTGATGGGGCTGCGGGGTCGACGCCGTCTGTTATTTTGGCTGAGCCGCCTGTTGATGAGCCTGGTTGGAAAGCGGTGCCGCGGACGGTGAAGAATTTGATGGGGTCGGTCGATTGGACTGTTAGCACTGCGTTACCGGCGAAGATGGGGCGGGTGAATTCTATATTTGTTAGCGGTGGGCTATGCGGTAAATTGGAGTCTGGCTGGTCTAGATAACGTACTGTCCTCTCCCTCGATGGCGGTAACGTCTGAAACGGGCTGAGCATCCATCATGGCCGCAACACGGGGCAAAACATTCTTGCCAAAGGCTGAGTGGCTTGCAACGACATGTGTGAAGCCGCCCTTTTTGATGTTCTCGACTAATAGTGGTGCGTAGTTCTCCGGTAGGCCCTACGGACGTCAGTTAACGTCGAATACAAACACACAAACCCACATGCCCTTCCAAGCATATAACGCTTCACAACATCACTTGCGGAGAACGTCATCGTAGAGTCATACCTTATCGTATGCCTCGTTTTCAACCGTAAGAACGTCCTCCACGCCCTCCACCTTCGCAACTTCAGCAGCTACACCGGCCTTGACGCCCTTGCCAGCCACAAAGCCGGTGACGGGGCCACCAAGCTTGATAGCAGCAGCGATAGCCGAGAGAGAAGAACCGGCTACTTTCCCATCTTTATGTTCGAGGATAGCGAGGGTAGAGAGTAATCGGGAACGGGCGAGTGTGCTTGCGGCGGAGGGGTATATGGACCGAGTTGCCCGGAGGACGGTCGGGCGAGCGATCGAGATCATGGTCGTTATTGCTTAGGGGTGTATATGAGTCTCTCTGTAGGGTATGGATGAGGCCGGCTCGGCTTAATTGAGTGCTGGTGTAGGCGTTGGAGTTGAGATGCGAAGTTGGAAGAAAGAAGCTCGGTAGGTTCTTGGAATGAATGGACCCTCGTTCCTCGGCGCCGATAGCCGGATGACTAAGCAGGCACATGTACATACCTGACTACATGAGACTACATTGATACTGACATTGATATTGAGAGATGTAGTATTGAGCTTGAGAAATGCAGGAATATAAATATATAGACGAGTAAACTTAGAGTAAGAGAACGCTTTTATACCAGTCCCAGGATCTAGTAACGTAACATCATGCGCCATACACCAAATGAGAGGAAGAAGGAAACAAGCAAAAGAAGAAAAGATGAACTATGTAGCTTTCTTCATCTTTGCCAGTTTCGTCCTGGGCTTTTTGGAAGAGGAGGAGGATGCCTCCTGGGGCAGTAAGAGGGCATCACCATTAACCTTCGCAACGGCCTTTGCCTTCTGAGCCTTCAACTTGGCCTTTCGCGCCTTGAGCTCCTCTTCTTCCTCTTCGTCTCTCTCAACCACGGTAGAGGTAAGCAACTTTGACTTTTTACTCTTCTTCCCTGCATCCGCACCCTCAATGCTCTTCCGCTTCTTACTCGAGTCCTCCACTTTCTTCACTTCATCTTCCTTGACATCTCCTTCTTCCAGCCACAGCTCATCAGCCAACCAGACAGGCATGGCAGCCGTATTGGCCCCCTTGACATGCACGGCCTTGAGATTTTTCCATCCCCGCGCAACGTACTTGTCCACCATCGCCTCAACAACCGCAGAGACGTTCTCCACCAACTTCTGAGCGGGCCAATTCGACCATCCGACTCTCAGCGCAGCGGTGGCGGCGGGGGAGAGATTGACAGGGACACATGCAATGGCGCGCTCGATCTCGCGCGCAACCACGGCCGGCGCAGCAACAGAGGCAATCTTCTCGTCTGTAGGCGGCCTCTTCTTATCGGCTGCCTTGACCCGCTTGCCATCTACCTTTTGGATCTCCTCCAGGCGCACGGGGATAGGACGCTTCGAGGACTTGAAGAATATCTTGCCCAGCGTGTTGACTAGGCGCAGGATGATGCGGTCGTCAGCAAGGAACAAGTCGTGTTCAGCCAGGAGCTGCCTCCTGCTCTCGAACGACTTGTATCTGTCCCGCAGCTTCGAGAAGCCGATGACCTTGGTGATCTTGGCAGCCAGCTCGGGGGGGAAAGCGGGGTCTGCAATGGTATCCTTGAAAGCGCGCTGGGGGTCTGCGGTGATCAGGCAGACGTTGAGGGTTGACGAAGGGTTGAGAGAGTGTGGCACGGCGATCTTGCCTGGCTTCATCCTGTTCTTGTCGACGAGGTGCTTCTTGGTGGTAAGGATGAGCCAGATGGGTGAGTGCTCGCCGGTGCTGCCATAATCCTCGCTGTCACTGTCATCGCCGAGGGGCAGCTTCTTTACTGTCGAGTCTGCTGCCTTGCGCTGGTCTTCGGCCTTGATGTGGGAGAGCAGAGCAGTCGATGCACGGAGTACCTTCTCTTGTTTAGTCGTTATGTCTCATTCCTTTTTTTGGTCTTTCGCTTGGGTGTTGCCAACTTACCTGGTCTGCATCCAGCTGATACTTTGGCCCCGTCTTTACCACTGAAACAGCCATCTCGACTCTTGTACACTTTTGACTATCTCTTCTCTTGCTCTGCTCGCCTTCCTCTGCATCAAAAAATAAAAAAAGATAAAAACTTCCAATTAAAGTTCAAGATAAACTCTACCGGCCCTACTTTTTTGCACATTATATTAATCATAAATTATATAATATCTCTTATTAATACATTACTCATCAGTCGTTTATCACATGACTGTACCTGCATCTGACTAAGCAGCAAAACAACAAACAAACGGAAAGTTAAAAAGGAAATAATAAAAAGCAAAAATAAAGCCAACGTCAAGTCAAGAAGTCAATTGCATACTGCATAAATACTATTATTATTATTGCACGCCAGCAAGACGGGAAGAAAAGAAAAGTAAGCAGAAGACGAAGCTGGGGCCTCGGAAGAAGAAGAAGAAGACGAAATAATAATACTACCCATTATTAATAATGAGCTAGCGGAGACGTCGCGAGCGGAGAAAAGGTAAGAGTTTCAGGTAAGACAGATAGGTTGGCAGGCCCCATCGTCATGGCTCAGCCCATCCTCCTCGTCGCAGTCTAGCCTTGCTTCCTTGCTTTTGCGCCGTTTGTGCCTCTCTGCTTCCTTTTCCCCTGGGCAGCCCGTTGCCACGCAGCACAGTGCACAGCATGGAGGCAGCTGGCACAACGTCGCGTCGGCGAACGTCCACACTTCCAGCACAGCGCAGCCAGCAGCCCCCCCTCCTTTCAGCATCTTCTTCATGGTCTCTTTTACTCTATATAACTATTAGATATTAGTATTGTTATCATTATTATATCGTCGTCGTTCTCGCTTTTTTTTTTTTGTTTTCTTCTCCTTTTTTGCTCCTAAAACAAGAAAAGGCCCCACTTTTTCCCTCTTTAGGCCGAACCCCTTGCGACGCTTGCTGCCACGCACCGCAGCTGCTTGCACCACGCGCCGCCCGCGCCCACGCCTCCCCTGCGCCCCGCTCTGACTGGCCGACCCCTGGCCCGCGGTGCGCCCACGGCCCTAACGTCTTCGCCCCACGCCCCGGACCCCCTTTGGCCCTTTCTTCGTCTGGCTTCCTCGTCGACCTCGAACTTCGCAACTTCAACTTCGTTCAAGTTCACCACCAGCTTCATCTCAGTCACTCATTTGAACCCCCAGTCGCTCTCTTAGTTGCTGTTTCGCCCGCCGTCCTCGCTGCAGGACTCGCTCCCACGCTCGTTACCAAGGCACGCCCTGCCTGTCTGTCACCCTTTACCCAGTACGTTGCTCTCCTGGCTGTCTTGTCGCCTGTCAGTGTCGAGCCTCATCATCCGTGACAGGTGCCATCGCAGAATGGAGATGCACACTGCCATGGATGGAGAGACGAATAGAAAAAGGGGAGAGATATGCTGACACGGCCCGTTTTATATATAGTCCCTCTTTACGATGAAGTTCTCCTCGGGCATCCTGTCGCTGGCCGTGGCCGCCTCAGTCCAGTCGGTCCAGGCCTCCTACCACGCCCATGGCCACGCCCATCACCACCGCGTCCTCGACAAGCGCGCAGACTCCGATGTAGTCACCATTCCCGGCCCCAAAGTCTATGCCTTCATTCTCAACGGCCAGCATATGTCCAAGGAGGAGGTTTGCGCCGGCGTCAAGGACGGCAGACTGGACTGGAGCGGCCAGAACCATGACGAACTGTGCGGCTTCCCTGTTGGCATGCAGAAAGGATCTCCTCCAGCCTGTCCGGCACCCTCTTACGTTCCCAGCCCGCCTCCAGCGCCCTCGTCTCCCCCAGCTGCTCCACAGCCTCCCTCCAAGAGCCCAGAAACGCCAGAGGAACCCAAGAAGCCAGAAGAGCCAAAGAAGCCAGAGGGACCTAAGACTCCCAACCCTAAGAAGCCTGATGGTCCTCAGCACCCCCAGACTCCCACTGGTGGTGAGGGTGTTAACCGTCCCTTCCCCGACGGCGAGATTGACTGCGGTGACTTCCCATCCAAGTACGGCGCCGTTGCCGTTGACTACCTAGGCCTCGGCGGCTACACTGGCATCCAGCATACCACTCTTGTCGGTGAGGTCTTTGGGACCATCCGCACTGCCATCGCCGGCGAGTCCTGCACTGACGGAGCTATGTGTTCTTACGCTTGTCCCCCCGGCTACCAAAAGTCCCAATGGCCTGAACAGCAAGGCTCAACTGGAGAATCCGTTGGTGGTCTTGCATGCCGCAACGGTAAACTCTACCTCACCAACCGCAAATTATCTACCAGACTTTGCATTCCTGGCGTTGGTGGCGTCCACATCAAAAGCACCATCAGCATAGAAATCTCAATCTGCAGAACCGATTACCCAGGCACTGAGTCTGAAACTATTCCTGTTCCTCTCCCGGCATTTGGCCATTTGCCCTTGACTTGCCCACAAGCCGAAACCTACTACTTCTGGCAAGGAAAGTCCACTTCTGCACAGTACTATGTAAACCCACCCGGTTACGGTCCCGCAAAGGCTTGTCAGTGGGGTCATGCCGGCTTACCCATTGGCAACTGGGCTCCTATCAACATTGGTGTTGGTGAAAAGGGAGGCGTCAAGTGGCTGTCTATCTTCCCCAACCGTCCTACCACCACCGCCATCCTGCACGTGACCATCGAGATTGTCGGAGAGGGCCTCTCAGGCAAATGCAAGCATAAGGACGGCAAGTACTATACTGATACCGGCGTTAACGAAGATGGATGCACCGTAAGTTCACTCAATCCAGCTACTCTGCTCCTTCCGTTACTAAATAACATTCTAGGTCTCCGTCCTACACGGTGAAGCAACCTTTGTCTTCTCCTATGATTAGACCAGCTCACGATACATCTAGCTTGTTAATGATCCCTCCATCCCTCTCCCTACCTCTAGCTCCCTTACTCCTCCTCGTCCTTGCTCGCCGCTGCTTTGATTCCCTTGCTTCTCCCTCTTATACTTCACCACCTTACTTCACTTCGCTCTGTCTATCTTATATACTCACCATTGTAGTTAAAGACTTTCCCTTATCTTCCCAGTCCACTCGTGTACCCCCAGTTCCTCGCCTTGCCGCTACCATAACTCCACGCGCAACTGACCACCTAGTATCTGTATTTTCCCCCCCTCGTCAGGTTAAAAGGTCCGTTAAGTTTTGTTATTGTCTATTGTCTATTAGATGAATTTACTTTCTTTCTCTCTTTTTACTTTTATACCTGTTTTTTTTCCCCACCTTCCCACGTCTGATGATTTCGATGCTTACTCTTAAGCTCCCTCCGTACGTGGCGTGGCGCTCATGCAGACTAGACTGTCTATCATTTACCAATAATAATAATACCCTTTGTTCTCATCTGCCGTCCACGCCTCTTTTCGGCTAACTACCAGTAATCTCTCTGATAACCTGCCGTGTCTGTCTCCTTGCCTGTCATATAAAAGGGGTTCCTTTTCTCTGTCTTACTCCATACTCCGTACCTCTACAACACTACCTACATCTACTTCACACTCATTTCACCTTCTAAAAAATTTAACCCGTCCACTACCAAAATGGTCCTCCTCAGCGCCCTGCTCGCCTTATCCTCCGCCTTAACTGTCCTCTCTGTCCCGGGAGACCAAATTGTAAGCCTACCACAACACTACATCCTATACCCATATTAACCATATTCCAGGGAGTCATCGTGAACAACCGATGTAACGGCGATGTCAGGGAAACACTCATAGATAGCGACTGCTACCCATATGAAGACACCACGTAAGTCTACACACACACACTCTCTCTCTCTCTCACGCTTCACACTTACTAACTCTATAACCAGGGGTGTCAACGCCACCATCCCTATCAAATGCAACTTCTACGCGTACGTCAATCGACTACTTTTCTGTCTTGAGGTTGGCTGCTTGTATGTGCTAACGGTTGACCAGAACGAATAACTGCACCGAAGTCGAGCTTTTTGACGGCAGCTGCGCGGTCCTGACCGAGTTGATCGCAAATGATGACAAGTTTTTCAAGTGTGTCTCCGCAGACAGTTAGCGATGGGAAAACATTGTTACGGGTTTACGTACGAAGTCGAATGGCTGCTCAAGATATGACTGGAAGATACTCTGTTTAGGATAGTTAATGGAACTCATTTTTGGGCATCGTGTCTCTCACCGTTACAATTGACTCTGATACTGCGTGGAGCTTCCTATTCGCCACTCGCAAAATCGGGGCTTTTTTAAGGTTTCGGTGGAGACGTAAACAATGCATAATTCGTGGTCATAGCTTAACTTATTTATGCTCGCCCGCGAGTTAAAACATTAGGTATATTGTGTCTAGTTGTAGATGGTTTACTAGCTGTCTGTGTGGGATTCAGCGCAGGAGTCGACGTGTCTGCATATACTCAGGAACCAACGAGTTAATTGCGTCCACGAGATACGGAACAATGATGGCCAACAATCATTGCAGCTCCCATCCCGATCGGCGGAGATAAAAGTAAAATACATCCCTTATCCTTGCACATCACACTTCGATGAAGTGTCGATCCTTCGTTACACTACAGGTCCCAAATTTGAGTCCAGGCCGAGAAGATAGCGACGTGCCCCAATCGTCGTACATGTACTTATATAAACATCGTTTTCATCGACAACCCAGATAGTAGGCTCAGGTTAGGCATCAGTCTCTCAGATACTTCTTTTACCACCCTCTAGCTACTCTCAGAAAATCCAAACTCTTCACAATGCGTTTCTTCCTCTCTTCTCTTTTGCTGGCTGCGGCCGCTCTTGTCAGCGCCGACTTAGGCGATAAGATTGTATGTGTCGCTACTTGCGCCACATGGACAATATCTGCTGGAAAACAATCCTAACATGGTGTTAGGGAACCATCCATAACGACCAGAAGTGCGCCTCTGAGGGCATTGACCTTGTTGATGGCCTATGCACTTCATACTATCAAGGGTATGCTCGTACACTGCTTAAACAACAATGTGTTCCATATTAAACTGCTAACTTATTCGCAGGTCCATCAACTTGACTGCTGACGCCGCTATTTGCTATGCTTTCCTGTATGTCAACTACTCTTATCTGATCCTATTATATACCCACGATACTAACAATGTCACTTAGAGATGGAGAGTGTAACCAGGTTACTACTCCAGACGGCGTCAAGTTTGAGAAGGGATGTGAGCTTACTGAGAAGTTGGACAGAAGTGCAGATTTCCTCATTTGCTATGGAGAGTCACGGAGCGATGGGGGTGTTATGTAAATTATTGAACCATGACATAGACAGAACATAATGACCCTGAATGATTTGCATCGTCAGGTAATCCCGGACACATAGCATGAAGAAAATTACCATATACATGCCCACGTCGCAAGGCTGAGATGCTCTGTACCTCTTGTACTCGGTACTTCGATGAAGATCAGGCAGTAGTGATACTTCGAATTTCCAGCCTGCGCAGACATAAAATAAAATTTACAGCCATTGAGTTATAATAAATCTAAACTGAGTGGCAAAAGGGGCTTGTTGCATTTCTTATGACTCTCAACACGACTCAAAATTGCGGCACAGGAATGATTGAATGCGGCAGTTCGCTAGGGTATCGAAGTTTAGCCATAGCCATTCATGTTCGCAGCACTGTTCACCTCTTGGTATCAGCAAAGTTTACTGGTCAAATGGCCAGAGCGATTCAAACACCTCGGAATTCCAGCCAGGATATGTCTTGAATTCATCGATGATCTCGCTTTTCACTTGTCGAAGTGCTGCTTTCGCTGCTTCGTAGTTTTCATGCTCCACCACGCCTTTCTCCGGCCACAAGTTTCCGAGTCGTCGCTCTATTAGCTTCATAGTCCGAACACCCAGCTCTGCTCGTTCCACATCAGCTTCAATGGAATCGACCTCTTCGTCAGTGAACTTAAGTGGGAATGATGACGTTCCTATATTCGTCCATTCATCTCGTAGATCTAGCAACAGGGCAAGAAAGTGTGGTTCTCCAGCTTCAAATATTCGACGGGAAAGATGGAGGAGGTTACCAGCCGCTGACTGCTGGAATCTTATGGCCTGGTGCTGAGACGGATTCTTATCTCGCACAAGGCGCCGCCACCCAATCATGATTACCTTGTCGAGATACTCTGCTACCGCTGCCTCCCTCTCTTCACCCTTGAGAGCCTTGATCGCATCGGGGAGCTCAGGCTTTTCCAGATTATCACCCACATCGGGGCCTTCATATCCAAGGAATGAAGGGTCTAGGCAATGGTCGGCTAAGGGTGCAATATGGGTGGATTGCCAGTCGATGATTCCTTGTACCTCGAGGCTGTCCGGATCAACAAATATATTCTCATCGTGCAGATCATTATGCCAGAGATGTACCGTGTTAAGTGAAGGTTCTCGGGGTAGTAATATGTCTTGTATCTGCGAATAGTACTGTAGTGCTTCCAGTTTCTTTTCAGCTGAGGGCTGATACAGTGGGTTTGGACCGTAGAGCATTGCCAACTGCTTTGGCAGCCGTGTAATCGTCTTTACAGCCATCATCTCACGATCACCAACTGCCTTTCGATAATTCGCAACAGACCTCCCTATTATAATACATTAATCACAGAGCAACAATCCTGCATAACAAAAGAGCGCTCTTACATGGGCCGCTGTTGCACTTTAGACCATTCCGGCCAGCATCACTCCATTCACGATTGGTGCTAGGGCCAACAGTGAACCTGGGATTAAATGTAGCATGGCCGTTTTCAAAGTAAAGAGGTTCATTGGATGCCGTGGGTATGTTTTCGGTATAATATAGGCTTCCGATCTGGGAAAAATTCACGCTCGTCCACCTTCTCATATACCGCGCAATCTGAGCAAAGACCTTGAGCTTCTGTTTAAGTTTTAGATTCCACCAGATTTCAGAGAGCTGGACGCCAGGAATCTTTTCCATGACGATATATTCGGCTCCGACTGGGTTATTTTTTGTGTCTGTGGATGCATTCCATGCATACACTCGTGGAGCAGGAGTCTGAAGAAATTTCCGCGCAAATTCCATAGTGGCAACTTCACTGGCAGTGGTATAGTAAGGTACTCCGGCATTTGGGTTGAGCAGTTTTGCGACAACTTCCTTGCCATTATCCATTGAGAGGACGAATGCTTTGTTATAAAGGCCATCGGGGCATCTTTGAATCCCAACGCATTTTGTTGCGCTTGTTGAGTCCGCTGCTACTGAAGCAAGAGCATCCATATCAAATCGGATGCGACGCTTATCCATTTGTTCATTTTCGTCGAAAATAAATCGCCCACGGGTATATTTAATGGCCTTCCCATCACGTACGCGCTCTATTGCTGGTAGTCGACTGGCACTCGCAAGCAAGCTGTTTCTCCGTGTAGATAATAGTCTAGAGTGGACCTCAGCCAGACGAGGGACATGCTTAATAGGCCGATTGATCATTTTCCTTGACTGATGCACTTTACTCCAAGGAATGAGAGATAGATCTGTCTTTTCCCCCCTTTTAGACCAACTTGATGTTCATTTCGTGGATGAGACACAAATGCCAAGAGAAAACTCATCCGCCAGTAACTAGCTACCCATAAAGCTAGCCAGTTACGGAGTATAACCATCTGAAAAGGAGCTACCATTGAATAAGAAGCTCCCAGGCCTCTTGACCCTCATTCTCAAAACCCATCTCTGATTACGCCATTTGCCTTTTCTTCGGCCATCCTTTCATTGTTGATTTTCCACCACCAGTCATGGGTTTCATCAGTGACTGAATATCTCTTCTGCTTTCTGCCCCAACCCTCTAGGTCTTCATCGTCCCAGGGCTTTGAGCTTAGTATGTAATGCACATTTTTCACTTTATAGTCTCTCCAGATTTGTGAATGAACCCCTGGCCATCTCATAGGCTTCAGAGCGTTGTATATATATGGGAGCGGTACCCAGCGATTTTGGTAAATGTCTGAAAGCAAAGACTGATCGGCAAAAGCATATCGCATGGTTGCCGTGGGGTCTTCAAGCTGACAGAGAATGGTATTATATATCTCCTCCGAGGGATTAAGCACCAGTAGCCCTCCGTTTACCATTGTTTCCCTTCTCCCTGTTGGAGGGCCTTGGACTTGTGCTTGATCGGGGTTACCGTGCTGGCTGCTATAAGCACAGTTCTTCGGGAACCTGGTGGAATAAGATAAGCAATGATACCTAGTCCAAACGGTCATTAACGTACCAATCACTCGGGTAATGTGGTATATTTAACGGGTTACAAGTGCAAGCATGACATGCAGCAAACACTCTTTGGCCTCGGCCTCCTAAGGCAGCATCATCTAGTTCAACGTCCATTAACTCGTCCATATTCTGGAGTACTAGCATGTCACTGTCCAATTGCACAACGCGATCGTACTCGACAAGCGAGAAGGATGCCAGCTTGCTCCAACAGTTATAAAAACGAACATCATTGCTATAATCTTTATGTACCGTAGGCTGAAGGAAGGATATATGTCGCGTAGGAATACGCCTAGCCTTTAGAATATTGAGGCCTTCGGAAGGCAGGCTATCCGTAAACAAGGCTACAAGGGGGTATTTTGACCCCGACTTCTTGAGGGAGTAGTCCAGCGTTAAAAGACCCGTTAGATAGCTAAGATTAGTGACTAACGCAGTCCAAACTACCAAACCAAAGTAATGATGTTACTTAACTAGGTCAAAAATCGAATAGTGGCGAACACACGCACCTTTCCTGTTTTCTATCTTAATCTCTCCTGTCGAGTTCATATAGAAAAAGGTCCTGTGTTCCCGAGTTATTTATATCTCTGGAACGCCATGTCACTGAGGCCGAGGATATAGATCTGGACTGATTCGACTCAGCCCTGTATCCCTGTTAGATTTCAAACCGGGCTGCAGTAGTTCAAACTCGAAAACCCACAGACCAAGGCTCTGATTGACATCAACCGGCCCAGACAATGCACGGTTTGATGCCGCTTCGAATACGGAGGATGTGTTCTTCCTATGCAACTAACAACCTTTTGAGAGCGCTGCATCGCATGGTTAGAGGGCTGGACTGTTGTGTTATTCCTTCACTCCCTTGCGTGAGGTTGAAATAAGAAACGGGCAGGTGGGGCGCGGGTCTTGGCTCATCGCGAATTTCGAGATAAGATAAGATCCAATCACGTGAAAACCGCATGGTTCGTGTCACTTACATAAGCCGTGACCTGGTTTACATAAGCAACTCACGTGCTTCTCTCTACGTTTAAGCGCGTCTCGAACTTCAACGTCGAAGCTTCACGGCCGCTCGAAGTGCACACAGAACACCGCCTGGAGACATCTCGCTGACGGGCATTGCGGCGTGCGTTGCGTTGCTGGAGGCTGCTGTTCTGCAGCCGGACGTCGGGTGGTGTTTCACTTCGTCTTTCGCGCGGTATTACCGTCACGGTTCGTCCGTCCAGCCACCAAACGCGTCGCCTCCACCGTGTATACGTTTAATGACAGGCATCCTCCGGGACCCTGACCGTGATCTTTTTCCCACACAATTCTTTTTACTCCTTTTTCTGGTCTCGCGACCTCGAGGCGGCTCTGTTCTGACCACCGGCCACCGCAAAATCTCAAATAATCCCTCTGCTCTGCCCGCTCAGTCTCGCTTCTCTCGCTTGCCGCCGTGTCTAGTTGTTTTTGTGTAATAAACAAAATACTTGATATCGTCCTTTTGTCTCCACCCCATGAGCAAGAGAGAGAGCCCAAAATTCTTATGAACGATTCACGTCAGTGAAGGGTATCCAGAGCCGGTTTTGCAGCTGGTGGGCGTTGTCCCCTTTCTTCCTGCCAGCATGGACTCGTCTCCTCCGAGAAAGGTCCCCCAGGGGCAGTCTACTGCGGGTGTGAAGCGTGCTGCATTGTTACCGCCGTTTGAGCCATGTTCGTCTCCGCCGCTCCCTCGACCAGCAAAGCGGAGGGTTCTCAAGGGCGAGGACTCGTTCTCGACGTACCCAACCCCCGTCCCAACTTCGTCAACTGCTATTCTAAGCTCGTCTCCCTCGCGTATCCCTCCTGCTCTTCAACGTACTCAGTCGGTCACCTCGGAACGCGCCCCTCTGTCAGACGTCCCGTGTGTAATGCTCGAGGAGGATGGCGAGCCCATTACCATGGGGAGATCGAGTGCTTCCTGCTCATATCAACTCTCGCCTAACCGTCTCATCTCGAGAGTCCACGTCAAGGCCTACTTCAAGCCTGCGAGCCACCCATTTGATAGGGACAAGATCGAGATTCTATGCATGGGCTGGAACGGCATCAAGTTGCACTGTCAGGGGAAAACCTATGAATTGGCCAAAGGAAAGACGTTTACTTCGGACATCAGGGATGCAGACGTGATGATCGATGTTCAGGACTCGCGTGTACTCGTCCAATGGCCACGTCCCGAACGAAAGGACTCAAATTCAGAACATACATGGGATGAATCGTCTCCTATTCGAAACGCAGACTCTCGTTCTCGTCACGGTTACTCGGAAAGCCCTCTCAAGTCCCGGGAAAGGCTACTGTCTCCTGTTTCTCCCTCCCCCGCTGTTCAAGCCCTCGGTTCTGCCGATCCCTTGACATCCAGCCGTTCTGTACCAAATGCTGTTGTTGTCTATGAGGACGAATCCTCTCCCGTACGACCTAAAAAATCCACTACCGACCCCAAGTCTACCTCCCAAAGCACTGAGCGAGCCTCTATCTCGAGTGATGCCAATGCTAGAAATTCAATTTCTAGTAACCTAACAAAATCCGACGAGCTATCCGAACATGACGAAGAGAATGATCCAATCGTGTTTTCCTTCGGTCCCTATGGAGAGAATCTCCTTCCACGTATGGCTGCTGTCAATGCCAGAGATACCCCCACAGCTTCTCCCCACCAGAAACCCCTCAAACGCAGCGCTTCGGCTCGGGAATCATCCTCTACAAAGGAGTCGACGGATTCATCCCGATCTGCAATTCAAAACCACATCATAAACCAGTTAGCCTTCTCGCGACTCTCTTCAACACCATTCTCAACTATAGTCAGCAATCTTCCTTCTGACCTTGTTGGTACCGGTTCGTCGAAGAAGCCCAAGGTCTCTAATACTTTTATCAGATCCATCATTGAGGATACCAGATGCATTGGGACTGTTAACCGTAAAGGCAAAGATGCTGCAGGTAAACAGTTGGAATGCGAGTATTACTATACCCCTGATCTCGATACAGACGAGATGAGAAAGCAAGCTGTTGTCAACGAACTACGAAAACCAGGACTACGGAACTGCAGGAAACAGCACAAGGTAATACACTCAATGCCACGTTCTTTAATCAACATATTTCTAACTTTGTCTAGCAATACTTCTGGAAACGGCCCAAGACCCCATAAAAGTTGTCTACACTGGATTCCAGCATAAGGATGAGTTTTTACTGTTACAGCAATTACCTCCAGTTATCCTCTCTTCAACGATGCCAACTATAAAACTCCAAAAAATATCACCCATTTGGTCCCACGGGTTGCATCAGCGTAGCAGTGTGGAAGATTATTTACCCTGCTCCATGCGTGGAAGATGATGTATGACCAATAACGTCCTGACACTCTTCCCCCTTCATATCCCTTCCCCATTGTATTATGTTTAATTGATTTTCGAATTTCCTTTGTCTGGTTTCTCC